AGAGGCTGCCCGATTCCTGAAGGCGAATTGAGGGAGCGGGGAGCGGCGGCTGCCGTCTGGGTTGGGCTGCGCAGCGCCGGGCGCCTGGCCGCCTTGCTCCAAGTTTCCGTCAGGCGGGCAGCCTCCGCCTCCTCCCTGACGCGGGCTGTGAGGGATGCCCCCATGATGGAGCGCGGCGGACTCGCACTCCCGTCTCTGCCTGGCGGCGGGGAAGGACAGGGCGCCCTCGCCTCAGGGAAAGAGCACTGCGGGGACCGGCGAGGCTCTCCGGAGTCCCTGCCTCCCGTGTCGGGCAGCGCGTAGCCTCCGCCGACGGAGAGGAGGAGATGGCGAGTCGCAATCGGCGCCGTCGCCGCCGCCGCCGCCCAAGGCCGACGGCCGATGTTCCCGCTCTGGGCTGAGCTGCCCGCTCGGCTCGGCTCGGCGTTCCGCAGAGCTCGAGAGGCGCGAGGGCGGCTTGGTGTGGCCCCCGCCGGCTTGTTCGGTCGGTGGGAGCGAGCGAGGGCGGCGCGGCGGCGCGGCAGAGGGATGGGCTGCGCCCCCAGCATCCACGTCTCGCAGAGCGGCGTGATCTACTGCCGCGACTCGGAAGAGTCCAATTCGCCGCATCAGACCGCCGCCGTCTCGCAGGGAACGGCCGCCACCTTGCACGGGCTCTTCATCAAGACTGACGCGGCCGACTCCATCCCTTCGGTGCTCGCCTACCAGAGTCGCCAGCCGCCGCCGCCGCCGCCGAACTGCCCGGCCTACCCGCGCAGGGAGGTGCGCAGGAGCGGGGGTCACCACTGCTGTGGCGTCGTCGAGGCGGAAACCCAGACCAGCCAGAGTAGCGTCAAGGTAAGGACTGCACTTGCTGGGCGCTATCCAGATCTCTTGCATCTAGCTGGAAGACGGAGCAGCCTTCCTTCAACCTGCTTCCTTCCAGATGTGTTGGACCAGACTCCCTACAGCTGTCATCAACCTTACCTGATGTGAAGGGGGGTAGGTCTGGGACTGACATGGGGATCATGGAAGCTGTAGTCCAACACATTAGGAGGGCACCAGGAGGGGAAGGTCAGAAGGCCATGAGGTTGGGTTGAAGAGGAAGAACCTCATGATGAAGAAAAGGAGAAAGTTTTTTGTCCTTCCATCACCAGAGATCATCCTTTCAGGTAACAGAGACATCTTGAGGAAGTCACAGGAACAGAGATTTCTAATTAACACCTGACCCTATGGTCAAAATAGTAATTATCTCAGTGGGACTCTCAATATTCCCCAGAAGAAAAACTTTACTTGGGCAATTCTTTCCCACTCCAGTATTCCTTAACTCCTAACTAGGAATCACTCATTTGAAATAACCAGCCAAGCCAGAAGTTCACTCCTGAGTACCTTTGCCAAGTTTAGTTCACACTCCCTTTCATAGTTTAGTCCAGTTTTTCCCCCATCTAAGATTCTCTTGTTGGATTCAGCTGCAGCTTTTGTTTTCGACAGTCTCAAATTCCAGCACATCTGGCTTCAGCTGAGGAAAGGCTGATTTAAAAACTGCCTAAAAAGGAACAGATGAAGCGCCTTGAGCCACCTAACTTAAAACTGTCTTTGGGCTGTTCAGTCAAGGTTTTTTTTATCTGTTTCCCAGGAGACGAGCAATAAAAGCCACAATGAGACGAGGGGACTAGAAAAAAGGCAGTGCGTTTAGTCTTCTACACGATATTGCTTTGGCTGTCGGGGCAGAACCTCCCATGCTCTACAGAAGATGATAAGGGAGAGAGCACGAGGTTGACGATCAGAAAGGCTGCAGCAGATGCACATGGGATGCGGTGGTTGCCATGGCATCCAATGGCTTACTTCTTCTCCAGGTTTTTCCTGTCTGGTCAGGTACAAGCACATTGGCCAATGTCCTCTCCTGTATATTGGCTGGTAGGAATCATGTTGAAATTCAGGGTTAAGTTTCTGTATATTTTGGGAACTTCGTTGTATTTACCTTTATCAATCCATGTGCTTTGTCTGTCAGAACGTATCCCAAATGCATCTTTATCTACATACACATGGTGGAATATGAGTTAAAACAGAACCACCTTATGAAAGCACAAAGTAAGTAAAATCTCCCTTGAGAGAGGGAGGTCAATTCTTGGTGACCACGTTAACAAGTCCATTAATTTTCTTAACAACAATAGAGAATACATAAATTCATTTAAGCTGGTGCAGGGATGAAGGATAATATTTGCCTAATTCCTCCAGGCAGCACATTCAGTGTTCCTGGGAAACTGTCAGATGTGAGTAGTAAGTGCTCAAAGAAGACTTAAACAGTGGGAATCCCTGGGATTTGACAGGATTGCTACAGTGATCACAGAAGAGTTTGGGAATTTTGTGGTCTTCGTCATGTTGGCTGGCATCAATTGGAGTCCAGTTAAAAATATTTGGACTTGGTTGCTTTTTTCTTGGTTAGAATATAGAACTTGAACCTAGGGCCCCTGCTTCTTCATGTAATTTATCTGAAATAGTTATTAACTCTAAACATATCTTTCTTCTATTTTGATTCTTAAATGGAGATAACTTGTTCATTTCTTGGAACTCTTTGGTGGAATTTTAAGAAATAAGGGCAGGAGTCATTTATATGCCTCTTTGGAATTTCTAACCATTGCATTTTCATAAACAACATTTTAAAATACATATTGGACATTTTGAAATATATTAGAGTGGAACTGAAAGAAAGGAAAGAAGAGGCTAACAAAATAGCAATAGCAATAGAATTTAGGCTTATATACCACTTTGTTGTGCTTTAGAGTCCTCTAAGTGATTTACAGAGTCAGCATTATGCCCTCAACAATCTGGGTCCTGGTGAGAATTGAACTCCTGGCAGTCAGCAGAATTAGTCTGCAATACTGCATTCTAACCACTGCGCCACCACAGATTTTAGAAAGCCAGCATGGTGGATTAGCATTCACTAGATGGTTCTTAAAAGGTACATGGGGGACTGAAGTAAATTACAGCTAGTCTTTGCTTTACAGCCAAAATTAGGACCAGAGTTTCTGTTCCTAAGCAAGGTGATTGTTACGTGAGTTGTATTCTATTTTACCTTTTTTACCATGATTGTTAAGCAAATCACTGCAGTTATTAAGTGAATCATGCAGTCGTTAAGCAAATCCAGCTTCTCCCGATGATTTTGCTTGTCAGAAGCTGATCGGGAATGATGTTCACATGATATTCGGGAATGGGGATCACATGAATGGGACACTGCAATTGTCATAAATACATGCCAGTTGCCAAGCAACTGAATTTTGAATAGGTGACCATAGGAATGCTGCAACAGTTATAAGTGCAAGTTGTAAGTCACTTTTTCAGTGCTGTTGTAACTTTGAACAGTCCCTCAACAAAGGGTTGTAAGTCAAGGACCATCTGTACCTGATCCATGGACGTACATATGGGCCAAATAAAAAATGAATATAGGGATGGAAATTTGGAGGTGCTCAGAACTCCTTTTCTTCAGTATTTTGGTACCTTTTCTGAATAGACTTACTATACTGTTTATTCTTATACATTAAGCCCAATGTGCAGGAATTGAGATTATAAGCAACAAATATAATTTCTATGAGGTCAGCCCAAGACTGCTTAGTAAAAGGCAAGCTAAGGCTGGCAAAAGGTTAAGGCTCAGGCTAAGATCAGCTCCTGATTGGGAGAGCTACTGGTGAGCTCATAGATTACATGTGATCTCCAGATCTTTTGCAGCCCTGAAATCCACTGGTCACGAAGCACTAAAATTTGGCAATAAATTGTCAAATAATGGCAGCATGGATAAATAGCTCATCTGATAAGTTTTAGATAAGCAGAAACATTACATTCCCTTCTTCCTAGAAAAGAATATGCACAAATAATTCTGGTCCTGATTGTTTAGTGACCATATAAAATAATAGCCTAGGAAGAGGGAGAGAAATAAAGTATAATTCTCAGATATTAAAAAGTTGCCTATTTGTAATTTCTTTGTACTGATTCCCTATAGAATTCTCTCCCTGGCAAGAGAAGGTTGGTCCCATCTGTTTATTTTTTTACAAGATAGATATATATAATATATATACCATATATATTCTTTTAGCTTCTGGCTCGCAGTTCTTATTATTAATATACATGTAATGTAATAATAGTCAAGTTGCATTTATGCTCTGTATTTGGTTTATTTCAATTAATTTACTCTTAGGTTTGCTTAAACATTGATTTGTGGTTTTATGAATAAATTGTTGATTTGTATGATGTTTTTGATTACATAATCTCTTTTCTTTTTGTATGGTAAATAGCATCTATTCTTTCAGAAGAAAGAATGATCCATAATATATATGGATGAATAAATACCTTGGCAAAGATGAAGTTTTAATATATGGCTAATAAATATACTTGGTATATAAATGCATAAATGGAAACCATCTAAATCTAGTTAAAAATGTTGCAACCTGATGCACAGAACTGCATTTGCATATTTTCCCACTATGCAAGTAAGCGGACAAAAGCATATGACCCATCATTGCAGTGATGGGTTGCCCCCGGTTCACACTGGTTCTTTAGAACCGGTAGTAAAACCAGCAGGAGGCTCCACCCATCGACCCCGACATCAACAAAATGCTTCTGCGCGAGCGAAGCAAGCGCTTGCATGCAGCCCTGCTGCGAACCGGTAGTAAAGGTAAGTAGAACCCACCCCTGCATCATTGGAAGAACCTCCTGTATTCTACTATAAATATGAGTGCATATATATTCCATTATAGTTCAACTAAGCATAAAACCATTGATTAGATGGCTGCGAATTCAAATGCTTTGCAAAATAAAAATGTCAAGTTGCAACTTGCTATATTCTCTTGACATAATTTGTTAAGTTTTTTCCTCAACTACTACATTCTGCAAAAGTTTAAAGAGAGTATTGCAGCTCTTTTAAGAAGAGTAACAACAATGAAAACACTTCCACTTCATATATTGTTATTCTCACCTCTCTCTATATTTAAAGATGAGTCACTTTGTAAAGAACCAGTAATCTCATGGTTTACATTTGGAAGTTCAATGCCATCTGTCTTCTGTGAAGTTCCTTCAAGTCAGTCCACAATTATATTGAAATATGGTATTATCTGGATACAGACCTATCAATCATAGAGTTATGTCAGCAGCTTTAGCCAACACAGGTACATGGTAGTGATTTATTATTACTGTTTAACTATAGTTTAATATAAATCCATCTTTTATAGACAGGACACATTTGTGTTAGGCTAAATGGGTGTATAACCCTCAAAAATAGATGGGATTCTACTAGCCAGTTTCACTGGGTTACTGGATAAACTTTTGATGGTTGAGAGTACCACAGAATAAGAGGGCAGCAGTAGATGGGACAATGAAGCCAAATGTACTGTGTTATAGGTGTCCTTATTGTGTTCTCTTCCTCAGATTTTGGAGAATCACCTGTGGGAAGGTCATACCACTGATTTCAAATAGTAGTCTCAGACAGAACCTTGGAGGCCTCAAAAAAGAGAAGAGATATGGGATATTAAAGAATACCAATCACTGCTTTGCACAGCCCATTTTGCTTTCAAGATAATGCAGAAGACTTTCTGTGAAATTTCCATAAATAAGGCTTCTAGTAAAATTTCAGAGCTGTCAGTTATTTTCATTGTGAATATATTCAGCCATTAGTTATATAACTTAAATTAGGAATGTACTTTTCTTGAGGAAAAAGGGGGACAATTTTCCCCCTTCTGTTCTTATATTAAAGTCATTTATATAACAATAAAGTTGGGCAAAGAGCAGTCTGAAAATTGGCCCTGTTTTATTGTAATCTAAGATGAGCTAAGAAGAACATGCCATTTTATGCTAATGTATCCTCTTCTATAATAACACCGCAACTAAAATGAGATAATTTGATACAGCAAAAGAAATTTCTTAAAGGATTTCTAAGTTTGGTTAATACTTACTCTGCAGAATAAAGGTTATTTTTTTTTCTTTTTAATATTGAAGAGAGCTCAAAATGATACTTTGCAAATGACAGCTGAAAGGAGAAAAAAAAGTACATTAAACATTCAGCAGTGTGAATATGCTGGCTCAGTGCATTATAACAATCCAAAATGAGCACATGGAGTATTTAAAATTCAGGTCCAAGATTTGTTATAAAATTAAACTTACACATTGCACTCATGTTCATTAGAATGATGTGACAATTTTTTTGAAACCACTTCAGAAGAGCAAGCAAATAGGTCATCTTCCTTGCAAATTTAGGATTACTGGATTACTTAATACTGGGTACCAGGCACTTTCTCTCCATAATTATATTAAAGAGGTTTTTGAAAGAGCTAAGTTTTTTTGTGCAATAATAATGTTCTTGGTGTGCACTGTCCTTTCACTAAAAGCAAGTTTTTTGGGACAAAGTTATCCTACATTGGACAATGTCACTACAGTGTTCTCCAAAAGAGGGAAGGAATTATTGAGATTCTGTAGCCTTGAACTATTCAACAGTTTCACTGACAAATGGAAATTCGGATCTGTTTGTTGTTGACTAACAGTTTTGCTGCTGCTACTGTAGTGAGCCAATTTTAAGCAATAATGTATTGTGACTTTAGCTTTCTTTTTATAGTGTTTATTTCACTGTACCATTCACGAAAGAGTCAATACTTTTTCTATTGTGAGTCTCCAGAATCCAATCTTTGCTCCCATAAAATATCACAGGGAAAACTATGGCCTCAATCTATGGCCAGAATTGAGCCCAAAATTTCCAGTGCTAACAATACAGTTGTTAAGTGAGTTGCCTCCCATCTTATGATCTTTTTTGCCACAGTGAAGTTGTTAAGTGAACTATGTGGTCATTAAGCAAATTCTGCTTTCCCCATTGACTTTGCTTGCTGGAAGGAAGCCAGCTGCGAAGAAGGTTACAAATGGTGATCGCATAACCCTGGGACAATGTAACTGTCATAAATATGTGCCAGTTGCAGAGAGCTCAAGTTTTGATCACATGACCATGGGGATGCAGCAATGGTCATAAGTATGAAAACTGGCCAGAGGTCCCTTTTTTTCAGTGCTGCTGTAATTTTGAATGATCATTAAGAAAATGGTTGTAAGTCAAGGATTTACAAGGACTGCCTGCATTGCCTGCACCATTCTGCTCTTTGGAGGCATAGGCACATCATGATCTCCGAACACCTTTTCCACAGCTTTCATTAAGGCTCTACAACGTGCAACTCTGTGGTTTATTTCTACTGGATCCTTTACTATTGATAGCCAACCCTAAAGGCAAAAGCTATCTACTACTTCAATATCTTCATTGTCACTTCTAAGGCTGGTTGCTTACTTCTGGTCTTAGTTTCTCTAGCCTGGAACATAGTTCTTGCCCATCTTCCATGGAGATTCCATTTATCTATCTGGATGCAGCTTTCATGTCTCCTCCTAGTCTTCTTTTCTCCAAACCAAATATCCCAAGTTCTTTCAGTCTGTGTTCACAAGGCATCTCAAGTCTCTATCAGCTTTGTTACTTTCCTCTGAATCCTCTCTAACATGGCATAGTAAAATCCATTTTTCGCTGTAGCCAAGAAAGATTTTTGCTCCTTTATAATATGGGAAATCATAAACATAGATTTCTAAACCCTTTAAAACTATAATTTTACTAAATGGTTTCAGATGCCTTTGCTCTAACAAAGGATTACAATTATTGCACAGAATTATAATGAAATAATGGAAAAAAACATTGCTAACACATTCTACTACATGTATTAAAATTTGTTCCTCATAATACTCAGCTAATGATTATACTTGTGCTACAGAAAAAATAATTTTCCATATTTCTTTCCTAATGCATGTGCTATCATGTAAACTGCTCATTTTATCATATTCTGATATCATGTCTAAAATATGAAGATTAGAGTTGTAGGAATAAAATCCTGATATTAATACAAATTAATGGAAAATGCACTACTGAAGCAACTAATAGTAACAAACTAATAATTATTCGAGTTCTTTGAGTGAAATATAGATTATATCTGTTTATTAAAGAGCCTTGGTGGTGCAGCAGACTAAAGTGCTGTTAAGTAGCACCAGCTGCCTGCGATTACTGCAAGTTCAAATCTTACCAGGCTCAAGGTTGACTCAGCCTTCCATCTTTTCGAGGTAGGTAAGATGAGGAGCCGGATTGTGGGGGCAATAAGCTGACTTTGTATAAAAAAGAACACCGCTTAGGTGGGGGCCGAAAGCCCTACTAAGCAGGTATATACAAAAGTATGAAGGCTATTGCTTAACGCATTATAAGCCGCCCTGAGTCTCCAGAAAAGGGCAGCATATAAATCGAACCAATAAATAAATAAATAAATAAATAAATAAATAAATAAATAAATAAATAAATAAATAAATATTATATTTCATAAGGCTTTAAAAACTTGGCTATATACCCAGACCTGGGGCTCGGAATGTGTTAAGGGACCCATTATCTAACTTTACTATTAGTTGATTAATCATCATAGCTGCTGTTTGTATTTATTTATTTTGTAGATGTTGTTACTGTTTTAATGTTCTTAATTGTTTTATAATTTTAGAATTGTACCGCCCAAAGTCATCTGATTGAGTTGTATGGCTATAGAAATAGAATAAATAAATATCAATAGACTATAAATTAAGCAAAGTAAAACACTTTAAGAGAGCCAGTTTGATGTAGTAGTGAAGGCATCAGGCTAGAAATGAGAAGATAATGAATTCTACTTTTTTCTTCCTGGGCTTAAAACCAGCTAGATAATCTTTTGCCAGTCACTTTTTCTCAGTCCTAGAAAGCAGGCAATGGCAAATCACTTCTGAAGAACCTTGTCAAGAAAACTGCAGGGACTCATCCAGGTAGTCTCTAAGAATCAGACACAACTGAATGGGGAGTGTGTGTGTGAAATCCTTTTAAAACTCTCTTATTTCACTAGTGGATGGCACAGTGCTCAGTGATTAAGACGCTGGGCTTGTCAGCTGGAAAGCCAGCAGTCCAGGTTTGAGACTGCCAGCTTGTGCCACGCAACAGAGCTCCTATCCTCGCCCCAACTCCTGCCAGCCTAGCAGTTAGAAAGCATGCAAATGTGAGTAGATAAATAGGAACCACTTCAGTGGGAAGGTAACAGGACTCCGTGATGTCATGCTGGCCACAGGACCATGGAAAGCTCTCCTGACATTGGCTGAATGGCCTTGAAATGGAGATTAGCACCGTCCCCTAAAGTCAGCAATGACTAATCAAGTAAAATTCCATAGAGACTCCTTTATTTCATTAGCACATCGCTGAAGTTTCTGACTGAAAATAAAGGGAAATTTGCTTTCTGTAGAAATACTCAACAGAGAAAAAAAGAATTGGACTTGTATTCTCTCAAATTCCCAGATGGGATGGATAGTTTGCTAGAGCAGTAAAATAATTGTCTCAGCAGCTATCCGGCCATATCTGAATCTGGAAAATATAGCAATTAGGGCTGAGCTCAGCAGCTTAAAAGATTCTCCCATAGAAAACTATAAAAGGCAGACTCTGGGCAGACATAAGGGAAGCTGATCTGTCCCTACATTAGAGGATCTCTGCTGTAAAATGATCCAAAGAAGTTGTATAAAAAACTGAGAAGGGATATAAAACAAATCCAAGAGACAATAAAGCTTAAAGAGCAACTCAAATAGATAAAAGATCAATAACATACTGTTCGGTCAACATTATTTTTCTCTCTGGAACAGACTAGTTGGAGCAGAATCCCTCTTTCTTACCCCCTATCTCCGCTGTGATTTTCTTGATCATTTCCTGCCCATTTATTACAAAAGATAAGAAATGTTGGATAGATTTAGTACAGTACTTGAGTAGGAGACCATCAGGAAATTTTTTGTATTAGATTGGGAAATAATTTTTAAAAATCTGCCCTCCCCCAAAAGAATGGCAAAATGCTTCTATAATGTTGCCAGGAAAACCATTCAGTTGTCTCCCTATGCTCTCTAGGAGCTGGACTCTACTCAAGGATACAGTTGTGTTTACCTTTAATAAGATAACCAGGTTTGTTGTTGTTAGTTGAGAAGTCGTGTCTGACCCATCGCAACCCCATGGACAACATTCCTCCAGGCCTTCCTGTCCTCTACCAGCCTCTGGACTCCATTTAAGCTCATGCCTACTGCTTCAGTGACTCCATCCAGCCACCTCATTCTCCGTCATCCCGTTCTTCTTTTGCCTTCAATCTTTCTCAGCATTAGGTTCTTCTCCAGTAAGTCCTTCCTTCTCGTTAAGTGGCCTAAGTATTTGAGTTTCATCTTCAAGATCTGGCCTTCTAAAGAGTAGTCAAGGTTGATCACCGGTTTGATGCCTTGCAGTCCAAGGGACTCGCAAGAGTCTTCTCCAGCACCATAGTTCAAATGCCTCAGTTCTTTGGTGCTCAGCCTTTCTTATGGTCCAACTTTCACAGCCATACATTGCAACTGGGAAAACCATAGTCTTGACTATACGTACTTTTGTTGGCAGAACCAGGCGATTTTTGTTAGGCAATAAAATTAAAAGGATCAAATCAGCAAGGGCAGATGAAATAATCAGTAAGTTCAGTAGTAAGTTTAATATTTCCAACTTTGGATTTGCATGCATTTTATATTATAAAATATATAATATATAAATCAGTAACGATGATTTTTTTCTTTCATAGGACATGATAGCATGTGTTCCTAATGGCCTACTGTTTTACCCAAGGAAATATACAAATTATGTTCAAAATAAGTGTTTTTAGTCCCTATAGAATAGATAGAGCCATGGTGGTGCAGTGGTTAAAATGCAGTACTGCAGTGCTAACTCACTACTCACCCCAGGAATTCGATTGTAAGCTGTTCAAGATTGACTCAGCCTTCCATTCTTCCGAGGTCAGTAAAATGAGGATCCAGATTGTTGGGGGCAATATGCTGACTCTGTAAACCGCTTAGAGAGGGCTGTAAAGCACTGTGAAGTGGTAAGTAAGTCTAAGTGCTATTTCTATGGTTAAAAAATACAAATTCAGTCACATTAGTAACATATTTCTCCATAATAAGTCT